ATTCCTCCTTCTCCTCCTCTTATTTCTTTTCTTCCTTCTTTTTCTCCTGTTCTTCCTCCTCTTCTTTCTTCTTCTCCTTCTCCTCTTTCCCCTCCTCCTCGCCCTCCTATTTCTTCTTTTTCTCCTACTCCTGCTTTTCCTTCTCCTCCTCCTCTTCTTCCTTCTTCTCATTCTCCTCCTTCTCCCTCCTCCTCTTCTCCTCCTCTTCTCCCTCCTCCTCTTCTCCCTTCTCCTCTTCAACTAAGATTATTTCCAGGTCTTATGCCCAAGTCTTCTTCTGAATTAAGACTATTTTCAAGTCTTATTTCTCGCTTGCCAGTTTACCCTCCTCATTTACCTCACACTCCTTCCAGTCTTCCCCGATAACTGTGTGAAATTATCAGGTGTACGGTAGAGGCCTGAGTCATTGAGTGAGTCAGTCAAGTCACGCAGCTGAGTGAGTCGAGTGAATCAGTTGAGTAGGGGGACAAAGTATTATTGCATATAGATTGACTTCAAATATATAAACGACACTACGTAACAGACACAATTTGAATAATAATCTTTCAGAATAAATCATTTCCTTCATGTTATGTCAATTGGGGAAACTACCAGATTTGATCAATATCCTTCAAAGTCACCCTGGTAAGAGAAGAGCTCATTTAGTATAATATGTTGGGTGTATGGCAGCGTCATTTGAGATTTGTGTCATCCCAAAATTTCTCTTTTTTTGGTTTTTTTTTATATTAGTTTATCATTTTTTTGGGGGGAGTGTCTCATGATTTTTTGTTGTTGTTTGTGTCAGGTGTCGTCTTCTGCGTCTTCTAATGTACGTAGAGAGAGAGAGAGAGAGAGAGACAGAGAGACGAAGAGAAAGAGTGATACGACGAGACAGACAGACTAAGAAAACCCTCCCACCAGGCCATCAAATACAAAACCAAATGGACTCTACCTTCATTACATATCCAATACCTATTCGTTCTGTCAGGCATCGCGAGACGAATGGGTATTGGATATGTAATGGTCGAATAAGCCATTTTTTTTTTTACTTGATAACTTGCCTGTAATAGTTCCCCCTGAGTCTCACCCTGGGAGGTCGGCCTCAAACCTCTCTGATGGAGGTAATATTAGATATATATCATGTGTTAGGTTAGGCTAGGCTAGGTTAGGTTAAGTTAGGTTAGGTTAGGCTAGGCTAGGCTAGGCTAGGCTAGGCTAGGCAAATAAATTTTACCATACATGAACTATTTTTTGAAGATTTAAAAAGAAAAAAAAGGTCAGATATTTCTCAAAGATGGCAGTTGTATGTTAAGGCTTTATTAGCTGACTATAAAAACATACTTCTAGTTTCTCGTCACCAAACAGCAGTGTGTGTGTGTGTGTGTGTGTGTGTGTGTGTGTGTGTGTGTGTGTGTGTGTGTGTGTGTTCCTCATAAACACAGGGTGAGAAGAGGAGGCTTTTAGTTTGACACATCACGAGGGTGCAGTGTCTGTCTGTCTGTCTTTAGTTTCAAGTTATGCTTCAATATCCGCTTGTCGTGTACGTGCGTCCGTGTGTACGTGTTTACTGTCGTCCGTTGTTTGTGCAGTGTTTTATGTTTTGACTTAGAATTTGGTTGTATCTGAAGCCTGAAAAAAGGTGTGTTTGTGGTTATGGGCGTGTGAGCCGTGTACGTGAGTGTTGTGTGACTGGGCGTGTGAGTACCGTGTATGTGAGTGTTGGCGTGTGGTGACCGTGTATGTGAGTGTTGGCGTGTGGTGACCGTGTACGTGAGTGTTGGCGTGTGAGTGACCGTGTACGTGAGTGTGGGCGTGTGAGTGACCATAGCCATGTACGTGAGTGTGGGCGTGTGGGTGACCATAGCCGTGTACGTGGTGGTGGGTGTGTTGTCGTAAGGGGGAAAAGGAGTGGGAGGGAGGGAAGGTGACGGGGAGAGTGGGGATGGGAGGGAGAAGGTTGAGGAGAGGGGGAGGGCAAGGGAGACGCCATTACCGTGATGAACGTCGTCCCACCACCTCTTCGCTGACTCCCGAGAGCCGCCCAGCCCAGCCGCCCACTTAAGCGGGTGTAATCTATTAACTAACAAGGTAATGGGGTTTTGCCCGGCAGAGGGTTGAAACTAAAGTGGGACGAGAATTAGCTGTATATTACCCAGCGTCTTGGCTAATGAAGATTGTACTCAAGCTGTTGAGGTCTCTAGTGGTGTAGGTGGCCCCGTGGTGTAGGTGGCCCCGTGGTGTAGGTGGCCCCGTGGTGTGGGTAGCCCGTGGTGTAGGTAGCCCCGTGGTGTAGGTGGCCCGTGGTGTGGGTGGCCTCTTGGTGTGGTGGCCCAGTGGTGTGGTGTATCTCTTGGTGTAGATGGCCCCGTGGTGTGGGTGGCCCCGTGGTGTTGGGTGGCCCCGTGGTGTAGGTGGCCCCGTGTAGGTGGCCTTTTGGTGTAGGTGGCCCCGTGGTGTAGATGGCCCCGTTGTGTGGATGGCCCTGTGGTGTAGGTGGCCCCGTGGTGTGGGTGGCCCCGTGGTGTAGGTGGCCCGTGGTGGTGGCCCCGTGATGTGGGTGGCCTCTTGGTGTAGGTGGCCCAGTGGTGTAGGTGGCTCTGGGTGTAGATGGCCCCGTGGTGTAGATGGCCTGGTGTAGATGGCCCGTGGTGTAGGTGGCCCCGTGGTTTAGGTTAGTCGGTCGGTCGGTCGGTCGGTCAAGTCGAGAGGGGCATTTAAGAAGAATAGTCTCCAGTGTGAGGATATGAGGTGACTTTCCATCTATTTCTTCTGCAATACAAGTTTGAAAGTGAAATTGAGACGACGAGAAAGAATGTCATTATGAGTTAAAATAAGACAATGATACTTAACCCAGGTCTTGTTATTAATCTCATCAATTATAACATCTATTTTGATAAAGACGTAAAAATTAACCATCAACCACAAAAGCTGTAATATTGTGAATTGTTGTCTTGCACTGTGTCGATGACGGCCTAAGACGGTCGCAATTGGCTTTAAATTGAGGTCAGTCGAAGATTTTTTCTCTCTGTGTGTGTGTGTGTTGTTGTGTGTGTGTGTGTGTGTGTGTGTGTGTGTGTGATATAATATTAAATACACGCATCGGAAACACATGAACTAAACCACTAACACCGAATCAAGATCTTTAAGTCGGGGTTAAGTGAAGTCAGTAAGTATTAAAGTGAAGAAAAAAGAAAAGTTGGGTTAGAGCGGGTCAGGAGAGGTGAATCCCACGTTTAAATCCGCTCAAAATCTCACAGGTTATGAAGAAAAATTCTGCTGGTCGAGGAGAGAGAGAGAGAGAGAGAGATGTCTTTGTGGGGAAAATAAACTCTTGTTTGGCCCAATGCGTTTAGAAATGTATTTTCACTATATTGTCTGGGTGTAAGAGTATATAGTCTGGTCTCCTCTGGGTGCAGGAGTATAGTCTGGTCTCTCTGGGCAGGAGTATATAGTCTGGTTCTCTGGTGCAGGAGATATAGTCTGGTCTCCTCTGGGTGTGAAGAGTATATAGTCTGGTCTCCTCTGGGTGCAGGATATATAGTCTGGTCTCTCTGGGTGCAGGAGATATAGTCTGGTCTCCTCTTGGGTGTAGGAGTATATAGTCTGGTCTCCTGGGTGCAGGAGTATATAGTCTGGTCTCCTCTGGGTGCAGGAGTATATAGTCTGGTCTCCTCTGGGTGCTGGAGTATATAGTCTGGTTCTCTGTGCAGGAGTATATAGTCTGGTCTCCTCTGGGTGCTGGAGTATAGTCCGGTCTCTGGGTGCTGGAGTATACAGTCCGGTCTCCTCTGGGTACAGGAGTATAGTCCGGTCTCCTCTGGGTGCAGGAGTATATAGTCTGGTCTCCTCTAGGTGCAGGAGTATATAGTCTGGTCTCCTCTAGGTGCAGGAGTATATAGTCTGTTCTCCTCTGGGTGCAGGAGTATATAGTCTGGTCTCCCTCTGGGTACTGGAGATATAGTCTGGTCTCCCTGGGTGCAGGAGTATATAGTCTGGTCCTCTGGGTGCTGGAGTATATAGTCTGGTTCCTCTGGGTGCTGGAGTATATAGTCTGGTCTCTGGGTGCAGGAGATATAGTCTGGTCTCCTCTGGGTGCAGGAGTAGTCTGGTCTCCTCTGGTGCAGGAGATATAGTCTGGTCTCCTCAGGTGCAGGAGTATATAGTCTGGTCTCCTCTGTGCAGGAGTATATAGTCTGTCTCCTCTGGGTGCTGGAGTATATAGTCTGGTTCTCTGGGTGCAGGAGTATATAGTCTGTTCTCTCTGGGCAGGAGATATAGTCTGGTCTCCTCTGGGTGCAGGAGTATAGTCTGGTCTCCTAGGTGCAGGAGTATATAGTCTGGTCTCCCTCTGCAGGAGTATGTCTGGTCTCCTGGGTGCAGGAGTATATAGTCTGTCCCCTGGGTGCAGGAGTATATAGTCTGGTCTCCCTCTGGGTGCAGGAGTATAGTCTGGTCTCCTCTGGTGCAGGAGATATAGTCTGGTCTCTAGGTGCAGGAGATATAGTCTGGTCTCTGGGTGCAGGGGAGCATAGTCTGGTCTCCTCTGGGTGCAGGAGTATATAGTCTGGTCCCTCTCTGGGTGCTGGAGTATATAGTCTGGTCCCTCTAGGTGGAGAGTATATAGTCTGGTCTCTCTGGGTGCAGGAGTATATAGTCTGCCTCTCGGTGCAGGAGTATATAGTCTGGTCTCCTCTGGGTGCAGGAGTATATAGTCTGTCTCCTCTGGGTGCAGGAGTATAGTCTGGTCTCTCTGGGCAGGAGGTCTGTCCCTCTGGGTGCAGGAGATATAGTCTGGTCTCCTCTGGGTGCAGGAGCATAGTCTGGTCTCTAGGCAGGAGCATATAGTCTGTCTCCTGGGCAGGAGTATATAGTCTGGTCTCTGGGTGCAGGAGTATATAGTCTGCCCCCCTGGGTGCAGGAGAGCAGTCTGGTCTCCCTGGGTGCAGGAGTATATAGTCTGGTCTCCCAGGTGAGGAGTATATAGTCTGTCTCTGGGTGCTGGAGTATATAGTCTGGTCTCCTCAGGCAGGAGTATATAGTCTGGTCTCTCTGGGTGCAGGAGTATATAGTCTGGCTCCCCTGGGTGCAGGAGTATGTCTGGTCTCCTCAGGCAGGAGTATAGTCTGGTCTCCTCTGGGTGCTGGAGTATATAGTCTGGTCTCCTCTAGGTGCAGGAGTATATAGTCTGGCTCCCCTGCAGGAGTATATAGTCTGGTTCTCTGGGTGCAGGAGTATATAGTCTGGTCTCCTCTGGGTGCAGGAGTATATAGTCTGTCTCTGGGTGCTGAGTATATAGTCTGGTTCCTCTGGGTGCAGGAGTAAGAGTCTGGTCTCTCTGGGTGCAGGAGTATATAGTCTGGTCTCTCTGGGTGCAGGAGTTCATAGTCTGGTCTCTCTGGGTGCAGGAGTATATAGTCTGGTCTCCTCTGGGTGCAGGGAGTATGTCTGGTCTCTCTGGCAGGAGTATAGTCCGGTCTCCTCTGGGTGCTGGAGTATAAGGCCTGGTCTCCTCTGGGTGCAGAGTATATAGTCTGTCTCTGGGTGCTGGAGTATAGTCCGGTCTCCTCTGGGTGCAGAGTATATGTCTGGTCTCCTCTGGGTGCAGGAGTATAGTCTGGTCTCCTCTGGGTGCTGGAGTATATAGTCTGGTCTCTCTGGGCAGGAGTATATAGTCTGGTCTCCTCTGGGTGCAGGAGTATATAGTCTGGTCTCCTCTGGGTGCAGGAGTATATAGTCTGGTCTCTCTGGGTACAGGAGTATATAGTCTGGTCTCTGTGCAGGAGTATATAGTCTGGTCTCCTCTGGGCAGGAGCATATAGTCTGGTCTCCTCTGTGCAGAGTATATAGTCTGGTCTCTCTGGTGCAGGAGTATATAGTCTGGTCTCTCTGGGTACAGGAGTATATAGTCTGGTCTCTCTGGGTGCAGGAGTATATAGTCTGGTTCTCTGGGTGCAGGGATATAGTCTGGTCTCTCGGGTGCAGAGTATAGTCTGGTCTCCTCTGGGTGCAGGAGTATATAGTCTGGTCTCCCTGGGTGCAGGAGTATATAGGTCTGGTCTCCTCTGGGTGCTGGAGTATATAGTCTGTCTCTGGGCAGGAGTATATTCTCCTGGGTGGAGATATAGTCTGGTTCTCTGCAGGAGTATATAGTCTGTCTCTCTGGGTGCAGGAGTATAGTCTGCCTCTGGGCAGGAATATAGTCTGGTCTCCTGGGGTAAGAGTATATAGTCCGGTCTCTGGTGCTGAGTATATAGTCTGGTCTCCTCTGGGTGCAGGAGTATAGTCTGGTCTCCTCTGGGTGTAGGAGTATATAGTCTGGTTCTCTGGTGCTGGAGTATATAGTCTGGTCTCCTGGGTGCAGGAGTATATAGTCTGGTCTCCTGGGTGTGAGTATATAGTCTGGTCTCCTCTGGGCAGGAGTATAGTCTGTTCCTCTCTGGGTGCAGGAGTATATAGTCGGTCTCCTCTGGGCAGGAGTATATAGTCTGGTCCCCTCTGGGTGCAGGAGTATATAGTCCGGTCTCCTCTGGGGCTGGAGTATACAGTCCGGTCTCTGGGTAAGGAGTATATAGTCTGTCTCCTGGGTTGGAGTATATAGCCGGTCTCCTCTGTGCAGGAGTATAAGAGTCTGATCTCCTCTGGGTGCAGGAGTATATAGTCCGGTCTCCTCTGGGTGCAGGAGTATATAGTCCGGTCTCCTCTGGGTGCAGGAGTATACAGTCCGGTCTCCTCTGGGTACAGGAGTATATAGTCTGGTCTCCTCTGGGTACAGGGCTTTGAGGCTCCCTGGACCAGCAGTGTGTGTCGAGTGCTGCAGTATAAAGTACATAGGGAATTGTATCTGTTATCAAGGTGGTTTATTTTTGTTTAGGTTTAATACGAGTGTACTGCATGAGGCAATACGACGGAGCTGTGTGTACTGTGCAGCTTGGTCGAGTACCTTGTGTATGTAGTAGAATATAATTGGTGTTTGTTGATTCTGTACAGGGCGAATAACCTCTGAGAGAGAGAGAGAGAGAGAGAGAGAGAGAATTGGTGGAAGGTTTTGTGGTGGATTTTGCGTCACTAACAACTTTATCTGTGGTGGATTGTGGGCCACTAACAACTTTATCTGTGGTGGATTGTGGGCCACTAACAACTTTATCTGTGGTGGATTGTGGGCCACTAACAACTTCTGTGGTGGATTGGGGCCACTATCAGCTTTATCTGTGGTGGATTGTGGGCCACTAACAACCTTATCTGTGGTGGATTGTACTAACAACCTTATCTGTGTGGGTTGGGGTCACTATCAACTTTATCTGTGGTTGATTGTGGGCCACTAACAACTTTATCTGTGTGATTGTGGCCACTAACAACTTCTGTGGTGGATTGTGGGCCACTATCAACTTTATCTGTGTGATTGTGGGCCACTAACAACTTTATCTGTGGTGGATTGTGGGCACTAACAACCTTGTTCTGTGGATTGTACTAACAACTTTATCTGTGGTGGATTGTACCAACAACCTTATCTGTGGTGGATTGTACTAACAACCTTATTTGTGGTGGATTGGGGCCACTAACAACCTTATCTGTAGGATTGTGGGCCACTAACAACCTTATCTGTGGATTGTGGGCCACTAACAACGTAATGTGTGTGATGACTTTAGCAATATCAACGGTGTATATAGGCTGGTGATTGATGAGTTCAAGACGTGGAAGAACAAGATGAGTAAGAGGAACCTGACAAGATGAGTAAGAGGAAGCTAACAAGATGAGTAAGAGGAAGCTAACAAGATGAGTAAGAGGAAGCTAACAAGATGAGTAAGAGGAACCTGACAAGATGAGTAAGAGGAACCTGACAAGATGAGTAAGAGGAACCTGACAAGATGAGTAAGAGGAAGCTAACAAGATGAGTAAGAGGAACCTGACAAGATGAGTAAGAGGAAGCTGACAAGATGAGTAAGAGGAAGCTAACAAGATGAGTAAGAGGAACCTGACAAGATGAGTAAGAGGAAGCTAACAAGATGAGTAAGAGGAACCTGACAAGATGAGTAAGAGGAAGCTAACAAGATGAGTAAGAGGAAGCTAACAAGATGAGTAAGAGGAAGCTAACAAGATGAGTAAGAGGAACCTGACAAGATGAGTAAGAGGAACCTGACAAGATGAGTAAGAGGAACCTGACAAGATGAGTAAGAGGAAGCTAACAAGATGAGTAAGAGGAACCTGACAAGATGGGTAAGAGGAAGCTAACAAGATGAGTAAGAGGAAGCTAACAAGATGAGTAAGAGGAACCTGACAAGATGAGTAAGAGGAACCTGACAAGATGAGTAAGAGGAAGCTGACAAGATGAGTAAGAGGAAGCTAACAAGATGAGTAATAGGAAGTTGTTCAGTGTTGTGTTCCTTGTGTATAACAGTAAGAAATGTATTTGGTGAATTAACATGTATTAACCTCTAACTTTAAACACACACACATGGTAAAGTAGTTGAGTTTCTATTTTAATTACATCATTGATTCCCAGATTATAATTTTAGATGTTGATTCTCATTATTTTCTTAACCTTCAAAAAAAATTATATACAAATTACAATAAAAAGTTAAGACATGTTGATAAATATTCGTTGTCCTTTCACTCTTCATTTATTTTTCATCTTTGGTTTAGTTTGAAATGAAGTGTTTGTTAGTTTGTAATGAAGTGTTTGTTAGTTTGTAATGAAGTGTTTGTTTAGATGTAACCGACCTCACATAACCACTGACTAGCGCCGCACAGATAGGCCTTTGGGGGTATCACCGCTGAGTCGCCTTTCCTACATCGCCCTCTCCCTTCCTTCCTTCCTTCCTTCCTTCCTTCCTTCCTTCCTTCCTTCCTTCCTTCCTTCCTTCCTTCCTTCCTTCCTTCCTTCCTTCCTCCTCTCCCATCCTCTCCTTCCATTCTTTCTTCCAAGTCCACTATGTCTCGTTGTGGTAGAATGGAACTGGTGGAACAATTGGTTTCATATGTAGGGTGGAACAGGTGGAACAACTGGGCCATGTGTAGAGTGGAACAGTAAGAAGTATAAGAGGTCCATGTGTAAGAATAACAGTAAGAACAAGAGGGCCATGTGTAAGAACAGTAAGAACAACAAGAGGGCTATGTGTAAGGATAACAAGCCCATATATCGTTCAGGGATAAAGTGAAACAGGAAGGACGTGGGCGCTAAGGAGGTGATCCATCTCTCTGGGTCTTGAAACATCGTGATGAAAAACAGTGTCGCGACAACTCTCAAGATGCCTCGCTCACTCCTCCGTCAAGTGGCTATTGTGGCGCTGTTAGTACCGAGGAGTCGACGAGGTCTCTTAGGTCCATAATGAAGGTGCCAAATGGTTTTAGTATTTCAGGTTTATTTACTAATTAGACTCTGAATATTGTTTTAGAAAGAAGAACGATTTTTTTTTTAAGTTTGGACGTTAAAGGAAAATCTTACGAGGTGTAGAATTTGATACAGATTATTTGTGTAGATTGAGGGATTATTTAAGGTTTATTAACACTGTATTAAAGAGGTTTTAGAGAGTTTGTTTAGGGAGTTGTTTGTGTATATGGGGGACATTCAGGCGAAGCAATATTAGGGTATATGATTTTATTGTTCTCGTGTGTGTGTATGTGTGTGTGTGTGTGTTTTGACATCATAAAGTCAACAATCTGTGAACATCCACTTTTATGGCACTATTCCTCAGAGTCGTTCAGTGCCTCACTTAAGGTAAAGCTTTGAATGACCTGGTGCCATCTGAACCACACCTTCCCGCTCCCACTTCTGTAATTCAGGGTTGAGGTGAGGAAGATACAGCACGGAATGTTTACCGGACGTGACCACCAAAGCCAGAAACCCAAGATGCCGCCTCGGGGCCATTATCACCCCGGTTTTCGCTCGACTCCATTACTCCGTTATGAGATGTTGCAATGGCCAAATCGCTGCGGGCATAACGTCGCTTCTATAATCGCCTGGGATATGCAAAGTAGGGCGATGATCTTAAAGTCTTGAGGTATTGGATGTGTTCTGAATAGGAAGTGCTTAGCTTCCTGGCTTTGAAATTTGTTGAAACTCCTGAACACTACTTGATCTTTCAGCTTATTTCTTATTAATAGGATTCAGTTGTTGATTTTTCTACTGTAGTTCTGAAGGTCACTTGGTGGTGAATTTCTTGAAAGATTGTGTAGACTTCACGTACATGCAGTTTCCTTTAGTATCTCTCCCCTCCCTTAGTGTTCGTAAAAGATGAACTGACTGCTCTCAAAACCTGTGCTAGCGGGAGACAACACCACGCCCGTGTGTCCATCTGGTGGGTGTTTCTGTCCCCTCTCCTCCCTCGTTTCCTCCACCACCACCACATGTACTCTCTACATTCCCCCCACGACTTGGTTATGTTACTGGGGGAAGTCACCTATCCAGGGCTAAGAACCTCATGACCAGGTGGACCCCGCCAAACCGTTAAGCCTCACAAGTGTCACCTCCTTTGAATTTCGCAGCGACTGAGATGGTTCAGAATTAGAATGACTCGCTTAAGAACTTGACGCCAGAATTTAGTGAGATCAGTAAAGAGTGGTGAGAGGTGAAGGGCAGTTTAGTGCTTAACTGGAGAGTGAGTCCTTGAATGTTGCCACAATAATATCCAACTTCTTTTGCTGTCTCGGTATACAAGTTCAGCCCAATTTATGGTAGTGAGGATGTACGAGGAGGACTCTCAAGGCTTATCTTCTCTTAGACGGTAAATGTTTCTTCTGATCCAAAGTGGACACGAGAAGAAAAGTTTCCTGTTGGGTTGTATTGGTGTCTTGACTCTCTCAAGTATACCTTTTCTTCTCCCAGGAAAGACTAGATGATCTCCTCTGCGCGAGTTCACGAAATCACTGACGTTGACAGTGAGAAATACTCCATATACCTTTTTAAGCTAAATTAATAACTATACAGTACTATTATATTAAAAGCTACGTTAATTGTGGGTTTTTAGAGGAAATATGTACCGGGAGATGTTAGGCAGCACCGGGTACCTGGAGGTGGTCTTGGTGAACCGCAGTGAGGACGAGACAACCTCCTGCAGGGGCGCTACACTGTTGGTTTCCGCACTAGTAAATACCGCTGTCCACCACTTAGCCTCGACTGTTGGAGCAAGTTGTGGTGTGGAACAGACAGTGATTACAGTGCATGGGGGAACTAATTCTGTATTTTGGTCATTTTGGACACAAACTGCGGATTCGTCTAGAAATTTATAAAAAAAAATCGAAATAATAATGAGGATTCACTTAACAAATAAAAAAAAATTATCACCGGGAAAAAAAATATTAAACAAATGTGAAAATCTCATTGAAGAAGAAAATTCCATGGATTTGGCCTCACGACTCTTGAGAATATTCCTTGAGTACACAAAAAAAAACACGATTTGTGGATTTTTGGAAGTTTTTGGATATAAGCGGATAAAGTTTCCAACCCGACCAGACTCTCGAGTGGAGGCTGAAACTAAACAAAAGTGAAGAGCCAATGTCGGGGAGGATTTGGCTTAATTTCTTTTATCGGAGACCTGGAGTGGAATCCTATAACTGGGAGGATTAGATTGAATAGCTGGAACGTCGCCTCCAACTTCAAGCTTTCCAGAGTCCGAGGAATTTAGCGAAGGGGGATATCTTGTACCGCCTCTCGGGAGTTTAGTGTGTTATCATCCAGAAGGAATTATAATTGGTGCCTCGGGAAGTTTGTCGTGTGAGAAGACCAGCCTCGTCTACCACTAACTTAAGGTCATCAAACATACCAAGGAATTATCTATAAACGACCATATTGAAGTAGTAGACAGACAGACAGACAGACCAGATTATCGTAAGGTAATGCCGCTCTGGGTCTGGACTGTCAGAGATTCGTAGATTTTAATCCCATCTCTTAACTAAGGAGGTAAATGAACACTCCTGGGTATGGTAGAGTCTCAGTGCAATTTCGATGTCATTTTTGCTGTCTTTTCATATGTCGAAACTTTGGTAAACTAGTTAGGAATGGTTCCCAGTGTCTTGATTAAAGGGGAAAATTTAACGTATGAGTTTTTTTTTTTTTTTTTTTTTGAGAGAGAGAGGTGAGGACAGGGTCTAAGTCGCCTGGAGCTTCGGGCTAATTCCCTCAGCCAGACCTGCCAGTTGTTCCTCAAAGACGGTGGTGGTCGTTCAGGACAGCATCGTCGCGGCCGCAATTATTTTCTCAAATTGAAGTTGTCGTCAAAGGTTTGTTCCTCGCTGGAGAGATGATGAAAAGAATGGGAAAAAAAAAACTATCATTAATTGAATATCCTAAACTTTTTGTCCCTTATTAGTTGGTGGAAACAATAGCCGCTCGCAAATAAAGGGGGTTTTATTGTATTAATTTGTCTATTTTTTTGTGCTTTTGTGGATAAAGGGTGTTGGAAGAGAGGCGTATAGTTTTTATAAAGGTGATTTACCTCTCATTACCAGCCTCTATTACATCAACAAAGAAAATAAGAATAATGTGCTGACCATTTTTTTTTTTACTTTCACACAACTAAAAAAAAATCCCCTTTGTAATTGACACATTCATGTCATAACTACAAAGCCAGCAGAGGCATTCAGTTGATCCACAACGCCAGACGTATAATTTCGCCAGCCCTCCTCTCCTATAGGTGTAATGAATAGCGCTTGACCCAGAACTCTCTCATCAACACCACAACCACTTCCTCCTTCCTCAGATACGACCTAACCTAACCTAACCTAACCTAACCTAACCCTGTGATACATTTTACCGATATTAACCATGAGTAAAGTCTCCTTCACTAGCGGTGGATGAACAACGGTAAGGCTTCCTATATCCCTTTAATATTTACTGTAAACATTAAACTAATACTGAAGTAAAATATTATTGTACACACGACTGTCTAGGTATGGTTAACATCAGAATGGTTTGGTTTGGTTTACTATGATTTGGTTTGGTTAGGCTACGTTACGTTACGTTACGTTAGGCTAGGCTAGGCTACTCACAGTCCTGTAAAACCTCCATTAAACGAACTTCAATCTTATGGGTATAGTCCGTTATATGGAGGTTTTACATCTAACGGACCTCGATATAATGGACTGTACTATCCCAACGATATAACGAACTACGTTCTCCCATATAATCCGTTAAACAGAGGTATCACTGTACTCAGGTGTCACGCTAGTAAAGGAGCAGGAGTATTCTCTAACTCAAGTATGGCTTAGTGTTTGACTATAGCTTTATAGTCACTCTAAGAATTATCTTTACAAAATTGTGTTGAAAAAACATGACACAATGGACGAAGGATTTTGACAGATAGTTTTTTTTGGAGTAGACTGTACATTATTATGACTATGGGTGGTAGCTTGATAGTGACTGGTTCTTTGACAGTGACTGGTAATTTGATAGTGACTGGAGGCTTAAAAGTGACTGGCAGCATCATAGTTGAAGTAACTTGAAATTACTGCACGATACTTTGAGAGTGACTGGTAGCTTGATAGTGACTGGTAGCTAGACTGGTACCATGTGTTACACCTTGACTGGTAGAAGGTTTATGGAGTAGGCACCACCACTTTCATCCCCCAAGCAGCCACAGGATGGAGTAAGGTTGTTCTCGGCGGAGTGGGCAGTCAGGCGTCCCAGCACATTAAGAGGATTAAGCGGGATTCGAAACTCCCTATGCAAACCTCGCGGCGACCCCGACTCCACTCCCCCACTGCCAACTCAACCTTACTGCTGTATGTTGGTGGTAGTGGTGTATTGTAGTGGTGATGGTGGTGTATTGTGGTGGTGATAGTGTATTATAGTGGTGGTGGTGGTGTATTGTGGTGGTGTATTGCAGTGGTGTAGTGGTGGGGGCGTATTGTGGTAGTGTAGTGGTGTATTGTAATGATGGTGATGTAGTATAGTGATAGTGTATTGTAGTGGTGTATTGTGGTAGTGATAGTGTATTGTAGTGGTTATGGTGTATTAAATGGTGGCATTCTGTCCAGTTAGGGGAAATTAGGATGAATATTTTGTCCAATAGGAAATTATACGAGGGATGATTTTGTCTGTATCTGTCCAAGTGAAGGAAAATTGTCCCGCTGGGGTTGTGGGAAAGTTCTTATGTGATGTTGTGGTTGTTGTTAGTTGTTGTTGTTGTTGTTATGTGTTCCAGTTATTACTTAGCGGATAGTTTTGTGAATATTGTGATCTATAACTGTTATGTGAGTCTTGTGAGCTATAACTGTTGTGTGAGTTTTGTGAGCTCTTTGTGTGAGTTTTGTGAGCTATAATTTGTGTATTATGAGGTTAGGTTAAGTTGTTAAGAAGAATTCATTAAATTTACGATTTTCCCGGGAAACTTTTGACCCATATTGAGGGAAAAAATTGTACAGTACTTAGTTATTATTATTTTTTTATATAAAGATCGGACTAAATTTTTAACGTTAGCGTGAAAGTAGACAGACAGACAGACAGACAGACAGACAGACAGACGGACAGACAGATGGACAGAGAGACAAAACGAATCTGTCTTTGTTTTTGTCGAGTCTTTCATAAAAAACTGAATCGATCACTTTAGTTAGGTTAGGTGGTAATGTTGGCACCCCTTAACATAAAACGTGTTTTTGTTATTATAATGGCACCCCTGAAACGTGTTTGTTATAATGGCCATTTATATAAAGCAACACTCACCCCCCCCCCCTTTAAACTGTGTCTATTATTTTGCTATTGTATCTTTTGTTTTTCCTTTGAGAAATAAATCAGTTGCAGATAATATCAGGTGAGTGAGCGACTGACAACAACAAACAGGGATAAGGGTATAAATTCTATGTCTTTACTAAGGGATTTCGACCATCTGAGTGAGTTTTTTAACTGTCTTCTCTAGTTGTTTCATTATATAAATTTTGAGTATTAAGATAGCAATAGTAGTTGGTGGTGGTGGTGGTAGCACCACGTAGTGTGGCGACCTGTGGTGTAATGGTCATCATGCTCGCCTCGCAAGCGAGCGGACCCGGGTTCGATCATCGGGCAGGGTGAAACTATGGGCAAGTTTCTTTAAACCATTTGCCTCTGTCTACCCAGCAGTAATTGGGAACCTGGATGTTACTCGATTTGCGGATCGTATTCCGGGGCAATGGTTAGCCAGTGCAGATGGCGAGTTGTCCGGTCTTCTCGGACTATTCCTTGACACTGGGTCATGCAACTCACTAACTTAAAAGTGTGGTTGTTGTGTTGGCGACAGCTTCTATACGTTAAACAAATTCACGCTTAGGTGGGCCATGGGCTGGCCATCCTCGTTACACAAGGGACAACCATTATTTATAGTAGTAGTAGTAGCAGTGGTATTAGTAGTAATAGCAGTAGGAATAATAATAATAGTAGTAGTAGTACTATTATTAGGAGGAGGAGTAATAGTAGAATTATTATTATTATTATTATTATTATTATTATTATTATTATTATTATTATTATTATTATTATTATTAATTACCAATATTTTCCTCCTGTAGGTACGTGAGAGCCAAGACATGGGAGGTGGCGACACGCACTGGGCCTCCCTGGCTACAGTAAGTTGTGCCTTCTTTATCTTCTGTTGTTCTTCCCTTCATCCCTCCTGTTCGTCTCTTACCACGTCAGCCATACTCTTCCCTTGGTGAAGTTATCCATCATGTCTTGTGATCTTCCTGTGATTGTCTTAGTCAGTTGATGTTATAATTTTTAATAACTAAGGTGTTTAACCACCGTGAGTACGATAACTTAGCCCCTTGAGTACAATGATAACGTCGAGTATATAAGTGATCGCGGGCCCTTCGTGCCCGGTGAAAGTTTGAACGCTCGTGCTTGGCTACCGCGCAACCGCTGTCCGGCTGACAGCGTACAGCGAATGAGGGTGCGCCAAGTCCGTAGACTTGCATCGTTTTCCGTAAATAAACTGGTTAATTAATGCCTTCATAAAGAAACCATCAACATGGGACCAGGTTTGTTCCACTCTACGATCTTTTTGCGATTTTTCCACCAAGTTCGATGAAGAACGATTGTGCCGTTTCAACTGCCCAGAACAGACAGACAGACAGACAAACAGACACACGGCTATTCCTATAGTATATTAGATATAAATAAAGACGTACAACTCTGACAAGAACATTAAGATATATTTGGTCCGTGTTTGTCCCTCTGGCGGTGGGATTTAAAAGCTCTTGATGATGTTGGCATTGCCTTAAAAACTTGTAGTCTGTTGTAGGTATTTATATATCGTCTTCTTTTACGAATAAATAAAGTTGTTGATTTTTTAGATAGTGGAAGAATTACTATTGAATGGGGTAGTTCATAGTCTGTTGAGAAGACATTAGGAGGTAGAGAGTTACAAAATTGATCTATAGAGGTAAAAGATATTGTTTCATAATAATCCATCCTCGAGACACTGTACCGACACCCACCCTCGAGACACTGTACCGACACCCACCCTCGAGACACTGTACCGACACCCACCCTCGAGACACTGTACCGACACCCACCCTCGAGACACTGTACCGACACCCACATAGTGCCTTGTCCAGTGACCTATTTATACACAGCGGCTGGGTAAGGGAAGCGCAACCTGCAACACTTTTGGTAGTAGAATTTTCGTCTCTCATGTTTACACGATTTTGTCCGGATATTCAGAGGTGAGTTTATGACGTCATTTAGAGTAATAAAAGGAAGAATGACACACACACACACACACACACACACACACACACACTAACACACACACCTCCAGCCTTAATGTTAGTGTACGTGTATTTACAGAACATTAATTATATTTGTAAACAGAGCCACCATAATGTTCAGGAACAACCAAGACCATCATTTCTACTTGACTTTCTGTTTGGTTTGCCACAAGCCATTTGCTAATTGGTTACTGCACTGTCCAACTCTGCTTGTAGGCGACCTGACCTGACCCCACACCTTGGATTACGGAGATATAATATAAATGCTCTTTGATGTGTCTAGGTTAAAGAACTGTATATATGGTACATTCATTACCCGGTATTTACTGGAGTTGTACCTTACGTTTCTGAAAAAGACTATGAAGGAGGAGGGAGGAAGAGATGGATGGAGAGAGGAAAGGAAGGAAGGAAGGGAGAGAGGGAAGGAAGTATGGGAGAGGGAGAAGGGAAGGAGAGAGGGAAGGAAGGAGGAAGAGAAGGATGGAGAGAGGGAAGGAAGGAAAGGAGAGAGGGAAGGAGGGATGGGAGGGGAGAGGGAAGGAGAAGGAGAGGGGAGAGAAAAGAGGAAGGAGGAGGGAGGAAGAGATAGATGGAGAGAGGGAAGGAAGAAAGGAAGGGAGAGAGGGAAGGAGCGATGGGAGGGAGGAGGAGGGATGGAGGGAGAGGGAGGAGGGAAGGAGGAGGAGGAGGAGGAGGGAGGAAGAGTTTCATCAGCTTCAAGTTGCCTGTAGCTCCCTTTACCTCTAGTCGATGTTCTTATGTTATTTTATTTCAAGTCTTTCATCTGGTCTTCTTGTATAGGATGAATGTGTCACAACGCTCTCTCTCTCTCTCTCTCTCTCTCTCACAGGCTCAGGCTCAGGCCCTTATCACTGCATCACTGCTCAGGCCCTTTCCACCTGCTCAGGCTCACTCAGCTCACTCAGGCCCTTGTCACACTGCTCAGGCCCTTATCACACTCGCTCAGTCCTTGTCACACTCAGGCCCTTGTCACAGGCTCAGGCCCCATCACACTCATCACAGGCCCTCACACCTGCTCAGGCCCTTGTCACACTGCTGGGCCCTTATCAGGCCCTTATCACAGCTCAGTCCCTTGTCACACCTGCTCAGGCCCTTGTCACACCTGCTCAGGCCCTCACACCTGCTCAGGCCCTTGTCACACTCTGCTCAGCCCTCACTCCTCAGGCCCTTATCACCTGCTCAGGCCCCTGTCACACTCTGCTCAGGCCCTATCACACCTGTTCAGGCCCTTGTTACACCTTGTCACTCACTCAGGCTCTTGTCACACCTGCTCAGGCCCTTATCACACTCGCTCAGGCCCCTGCCACTCAGGCTGCTCAGGCCCTTATCACCACTCAGGCCCTTATCACTCTCAGGCCCTTGTCACACCTGCTCAGGCCCCCATCACACTCTGCTCAGGCCCTTGCTCACACCTTCACCCCACACTCTCAGGCCCTCACTCACTCAGGCCCTTATCACTCGCTCAGGCCCTCACACCCTCAGGCAGCCCTACACCTGCTCAGGCCCTTGTCACTCACTCAGGCTCTTGTCACACTTCAGGTCACTCAGGCCCTTGTTGCTCAGGCCCTTATCACTCGCTCAGGTCACACCTGCTCAGGCCCTTGTTACACTCACTCAGGTCACTCACTCAGGTCACACTCCTCAGGCCCTTATCACTCAGGCTCTTATCACACCTGCTCAGTCCCTTGTCACACTCGCTCAGTCCCTTGTCACACTCGCTCAGGCCCTTATCACTCGCTCAGTCCCCTGGATGTGTCCCTGTTATATATATTCCAGTGACCCTCGAGTTTCAGGCCCTGAGAGAGGACACAGGGTCGTTAGCCTCAGTACTCAACGATGACTCTGTGTTCCCCCGGGTGTCGTGTCGTGGTGTGTGTGTGTGTGTGTGTGTGTGTGTGTGTGTGTACCTTGAGTTCCTCCCCCAGGTATAGTTTTGAGGGTGGCTGAGTGAAGGGTTCGTCTTGTGTGTGTATGTGTGAGAGAGAATGAGGAGGAGTGAGTGATTATGGGTCTCTCTCTCTCTCTCTCTCTCTCTCTCCAGTAACTGTCAAGCCTCAGTAATCAGGTCCCGAATAAGCTAGATAATTATACGGTTAGATTACACGGGTTGTAGCTGGCCGTGTGTTCCTTCCCGCCCTACACGTTACGAGGCCGTCACTATTGTTGTTGTTGTTTACGAGGTGTAGCTACTGTTAAACTGCTTCAATAACCTTCATATAACGAACAGGAGACGTCACGATCTAGAGCATGACCCCCCTAATTGACGTCACTGAGAGTAATGTATGACTCTTCAATGACGTCACTGAGAATATAGCATGACCTCCAGTATGATGTCATAAACTGTAGGATGAGCCTAAATGACATCATTGAGACTATAGCATAACCCCAAATGAAGTCACTGGGAATATAGCGTGACTCTATCACAAACTGTAGCATGAGCCCAAATGATGTCACTGAAATTATTGCATGACCTCATTATGATGTCACTGAAGCTCCTGCATGACCCCGAAAAATGACATCATTGAAACAACCTCATGACCTCACTTGACTCTTTATTATATTACCAGCACAATTGACCATCACCATGACAAAACACAATTACACAGGTAAGAGTAGAATAGTAGACACAGGTAAGATAATTAACATCACTTAAGGCCGCTCCAGAAAGACCAGAAACCATTGACTATTCCGGTCACCTGCACGTTCCTCAGTAGGGTATTATTCAATTATCAGGTGAAATAAGCTTATGGGGGCTAATCTTCAGGTGATCTATACAAACAATATAAATTACCTTCAACTATATAAATCCGGGCCATCATATCCTCAGTAATCTTGTCGTGTTACTTGATGTTACTTGACGTCACATCGGCTGACTTCACCACCATGAGTACTTGAACCAAATCGGCTTTCGGCTGTGATTCCAGTAATTTAGGAAAATATCCACACAGCGTTTCAAAATATAACTTTCCCAGATTTCATATTTTACCTCGTGCACTAAACAAGAAATAACTATGATTAAAAGTTAGGACGCAAGGAACTTAAAGCAAGAAGCAAGTGTGTGACGCAGATAGAAAATAGACTAGGATGTAAGAGCAGCAAATGGCTTAAAAGAATGACTTAGAATATGGTACACGACTACACACTGATAAACAGGCACTCACGCATAGACAGACAAGAGACAACAAGATCTTTTGATACTAATATTGATAAACCGGGAGACAGAAACAGACGGGAGACGTAAATAAAGACAGACGCATAGGCAGTGAAGTGTAAGGGGAGAATTCATCACACACACACACACACACACACACACACACACACACACACACAAAATCCTTCAGCTTACGTGTATATACAATATTTAATGCCTCTCTGCAACACTTCCATAATATTTTGATGAATATATATACTATTCAGGCAGGGAGTAGGGAGGGGGGGGAGGGGGACAATATACACGGTGGGCATCAAGTATATGTATACAGAGAGGTAATACCATATGTATATTGGTGGTTGGTGATGTTCAGACCAACTTCCACTCACCTGCCTCCGCTCATCAATAATTCAGCCTGTCTCTCCTGACCACTGTGTGTGTGTGTGTGTGCGTGTGGAGAGAGAGAGAGAGAGAGAGAGAGAGAGAGAGAGAGAGAGAGAGAGAGAGAGAGACTTTAAGGTCACCCTCTTGAACCCAGGTGTCTTGCTAATTAAGGTGACGCGAGAGAGGATGGGTCGGGGGCAGGTAGGTAGGTAGGTCAGGGAGAGGGGGATGAAGAGAGAAGGAGGGAAGGAAGACAGAAGGAGGAGGAGAAGAGAGGAACTAGAAGGGCATTATGAATTAACAAGAATGAGATAATGCAGTAAATGGATGAAGACGAGGAATAAGGAAGGAGGGAAGAAGGAAAGGGAGAAAACATAAATTATTTTCAGACGTAAGTTGAAGATGAAGTTTGTAATAAGAGATGACGAAATGGTGAGGCAGAACTATGAATGAAATATAGATACAATAATCACGATACTGTTAGGAATTTGAAGAAAGACAGGGATAAGGACGGGAAAGAAGGACGGTAAAGACATGGAGTAAGAAAAACGGGAAGAAATAAAGGAACAGAGGTTTATGTATTGTCGATGGAATAGGATACCTTTGTGGAATAGAAAGGGAGGCGGTGAGATGAAAATTCTCTGGGAGGGATGGATGGACCTGATACTGGTTGATAAGGCGGGTTTTGAGATGGAAGAGGAGGCGGTGGAACAGGAAGAATGACCGAAGAGTAGGTGAGGGTACTGTAGGAAGAGGAAGAAAGGGAGGAGGAGAGGAAAGGGGTCAGAAAGAAAAGTAAGAGGAGAAGGGGAAGGAAAGAGCACACCTATAATAGTAAGAATATGAAGAGAAAGAAGAGGAAAGGTACAGTAACAACAGGAAGAGGAGAAGAAGAAGAAGAGGATGAGGGAGCAGAAGCAGGAAGAGAGGGAGGAGGAGAGGGCAGTGAGGGCTGGAGGGTATGTAGCAATAATCTGAAGACGGGACATTCCTGGCTCGTCTAGTTGGTGCAGCGACCTGGAGCTGTGCCGCCGCTCTTTCCTCCCCCAGGTTAATGCCTCTACCTGGTTCCTGCTCCTCGTGTGTTCCTGGCACTGTATTCCTGGCACTGTGTACTTAGGCATTGTTGTGTTCCTCCCAAGTACAGTGTTTTAGGATCTATATTTTTACTCCCTTGAAAATTTACAGATGAGGCGAATGTTGGCTTGATTTTCTAGAAGGCTCGAGGAAAGGGGGGGGGGAGCTGAGGGGGGTAGGGAGAGGTTCAAAGGTCAAGATAATTAGGTCAGTTAAAGAGGACGTCCAGCACCAGAAACTCCTCCACAACATAGAGACTTAACTGATGATAGTGACTCTACTCTCAATCGATACATCAGGTTTTGACTTTGGCTTGAATGGCTTGACCTGTGATACTCTCCTGACCAATGAGGTTTTAACTGTGGCTTGACCTGTGATACTCTCCTGACCAATGAGGTTTTAACTGTGGCTTGACCTGTGATTCTCTCCTGACCAATGAGGTTTTCACTGTGGCTTGACCTGTGATACTCTCCTGACCAATGAGGTTTTGACTGTGGCTTGACCTGTGATTCTCTCCTGACCAATGAGGTTTTAACTGTGGCTTGACCTGTGATTCTCTCCTGACCAATGAGGTTTTAACTGTGGCTTGACCTGTGATACCCTCCTGACCAATGAGATTTTAACTGTGGCTTGACCTGTGATACTCTCCTTACCAATGAGATTTTAACTGTGGCTTGACCTGTGATACTCTCCTGACCAATGAGGTTTTAACTGTGGCTTGCCCTGTGATTCTCTCCTGACCAATGAGATTTTAACTGTGGCTTGACCTGTGATTCTCTCCTGACCCATGAGGTTTTAACTGTGGCTTGACCTGTGATTCTCTCCTGACCAATGAGGTTTTAACTGTGGCTTGACCTGTGATACCCTCCTGACCAATCAAAATTCGACTGTATTTGGGGAATTTCTTTGTTGACATATAAACACTACAGTGAAGTTTTTTGTCTTGTTATAGCTTATGTTGTTATTGAATTCATCTTCTTCTTCTTCTTCCTCTTCTTCTTCTTCTTCTTGGTGGTGTTGTGTTGTGTGTATAAACAAGACGCTTAGCTTCCTCTTGGTGTCTTTCAGTTCCTATTCCTTTTCTTTTTTGGGTTCTCCTTCTCTTCCTTGGTTATCATTTACTCCTTTTTTCCTTCTATTCTTCTTCCTGATTTCTTTTTCGCTCTTTGTTTTTACTTCCTTCTCCCCCTCGCTTTCCACAGACTCTTCTAGCCCCTCTTCTTACCTCTTTTCCTCCTCCTCCTCCTCCTACTACTACTACTACTTTTTTTTTTAAACGTGGCCTCCAGCCTCCCGCAATAGCCACACATTCGTCGCCATTTTATTACCTTAATATTAAATATCCTAATACATAAGTAGCTATCCTAGCTGTGTTGAGTTAGTTGAGCCGCAGATCTATGCGACATTCAGTGACTGTAGCCTAATAGTCAATATCTGCAACTGTTGTCTGCTTTGGGGCCGAAGCTCTCATTCCCCTGAGGCAAAGCAAAGCCGACCAAAGGAGAGAGAAGGATAGTCGACATCTCATCCAGGCTGTAACATAACTTCTGGGCTGCTGCTTCTATTCGGATAGCACCTCCGCGAGTCTGGCGTAGAAGCATCTTGCACTTGATCCCATCCCACCAGAGATTGTGAACACTATAGGAGTGAAGCTGCCTTTATTAACGTTCTGAATTCTCTCCCCGTATGCCCTTATCTTATCGTTCTCGTTCCTCCTGTGTTTAGCATCGAGAGCTAAGTTACGGTGACATGCGTCCATGGGATAAAAAATCCTGATGTCGAAGAAGGCTCGCTGTCCCCGCGTCCAGAATCCTCGAGCACTGACGTCCACACGGGCTTCGTTGGATGTGTTTCAAATCTTATGTTGGAAATTCTCACCGTCCAATGGAAGGAGGGTCGGTTCTACCCTGGGCAGATTTCCTTCAACATATTTGCTGTGAGATCCCTTACTTCGTCATTCCTAATGCATTTGAAGCCCCCTTTCTTGCACACCATGGCGTGATCGACGTCATAGAAAGAGCCACACACGCATTGGGAGGGCAAACCTTCTACTGGCCTACCGTACCTTTGAGCATTGGCATCTGTAAAGTCTTGTTTATTGAGACTGAAACCATTTGCCCTTATCGGTAACGTAGATAACCAGTTCGAGGCGCCCACCTCCTGTGCT